AAATGTTTCACTATTTTGATAACCTGTCATTTAGTTCCTCGAGTTTCAAATATATGAACTTTGCCAATTTGTGTGTCGTTCCATACTTGTTGTCGACTATCAGCCTTAGTGGTTCGCCTTCTTTGTCTATCTTCTATTATCCGTAGGCTGTTGATGGTCGATCATCCTTTCTTATCGAATTTTTTGTCCATGCGTCAATTTCCCAGTTTATATGCACATCTTTCAGCATGTCACTTGAGGCTCCATTGATCTTCATAGTTGATTCATTCTTTAGTATACGCAGAATATATTCCATCTTGTCTGTATATTGTTTTCGTCCATTATCATTGTCACTCCTTTATCCGTCTGAAGGACTAATAGTTCATTCATTTGCGTATTATGCGTATTCCTGTTTTGTCTCCTCATGGAAGTTTTCGGTGATATTGATAACCTCAATCAGGATGTCTCTTAGATGGCTTCTGTCAATTGAAAGTGAAAAGGTGAGTTTTTTTCAGGATTGTGGCGGTTTCAGGATCAAGAGGAAATGATGATAAATTCACTACTTTCTTCTGATCGTTGTGCTCGTTGTGATCGTTGAACAGTAGGTGCTGTCACATCGGAAATTACTTAGACAGGGCGCATTGGCTTTAGCTAAGGCTGTCTTATAATACTAAACTTACACAATTTATTCTCGTGTCGTTTTGTTATTAAATCAGATATTTTACGTGATTTCTTATCAGTTATGCTCTTGAGTTTTTGAAAGTTTTTGCAGTCAGGATCCTAGTCACATCACTTAAATAGCTCGTTCCTCTCCATATCATAGATTTCACTTAACTTCTGAATATAGGCCTTATCAGAATGGTAGGGTTTCTTATGATCAGAGGAATCAGGAGTGATACCATAAATTTACAACAGTTTAAAAGGTCAGATTACAAGATTTACTTGCAATTGTCTTCTTTATCCGACTGTATTCAGTGCATTGTCTGGCATTATTACAATCGTAGTTCAATCGAAGATATGAAGATGGTGTGGCCCACGGTATGGTCGCAGCCCCCTTTCGATGTATAGAAGTGGGTTAACCTCCTTTCCGCAATTTACTCATGTTGTCATGATGGCTTAGTTGAACGCACCTTGTCCGAAGTCTTCCATCATAGTAGTTATAATTCTCAACATAAGACCTTGGACTTTGTACATTCTCAGACGTTTCGCCGGCATCATAGTCGGCACCATCAGTGAGTCTCGCCATTCTCAGTACCAATCACTATTCTAAAAATGGCAAAACTCACTGATGGTGCCGACTATGATGCCAGCGAAATGTCTGAGAATGTACAAAGTCCAAGGTCTGATGTTGTGAATTATGATAACTAGTATGGCAGAGGACTTCGGACAAGGTGTGTTCAACTAGGTCGCCTTGACAACAAGACCAAGTTGCGAAAACGAAGTCGATTCATTTCAATAAATCGAAAGGAGGCTGCGATTATATCGAGAGAAACGCCATCTTAGCCTTCATATCTTCATTAAGATAGCTTCTCAGTAGAAAATGTGAATAATAAGAGTTGATTTGTAAACAAGACAGCAAATTAATATGTAATAAATTTGAGCAAGTCTCCACAATAAATTCTTATTATCTAAGCTAGGAGAATTTGTTTGTAGGTCTATGTGTAGGGCTGAGGTACAACATTATTCCCAAAAGAGAAATGCCACAAGGCTAAGAGGAAACATTTGAATTGCTAGAAAGAAAGGAGAAAATAATTGAAGGAACCTACGAGTGTAGATTTCCTTCTTAATTTCTTCTCCAAAAATACTCACGGGACTAAAAGTTAATGACATTAATAGTGGAAGTAATATGTATATAATATATATGTATAATCAAAACCGCGAAATGGGAATATTGAAGCAAGTATTATTTCAAGACAACCTCCCGCTGGACTTTATAGATATCTATTTACAAATTTGGATAAAAAGATGTTTAAGTTTTTTGATGCAGCACTTCCATAAGATAAATGAACTAATGACGATTGAAAAGTAAGTATATATAAACAAATAACGCTTTCCTGTTAACTCGTTTCTGACATAATAAGGAAGCTGTGGTCTGATCAGGTTATGCTCGTGTGATAGCGTCTGCGGGGAAGACCTGTTGAGTCAAATAAAAGGTTATCTAAACCCACCATTGTCTAGTATGTGGGTCTATAAATATGAACTGTTTCAGCATAAGGACAGTAGTTTAAAGTAATTTGAAAGACAACACTTAATAAAATATGGAGATCATTTAATTGAGGCTTTATACAGATTGGTAAAATAAACATATACGAGTGCAGAAAAGTGTGCAATAACAACTTCTAGTTGTTATATATAAGTATGAAGAGGAAGAAGGTAGAGCAAGATAATGACAGAAGTCTTGAGTCTGATTATAGCTCTAAAGATATCAATTGATTCAAGCAGTGAATACAAGCGAAATAGACACGACCACATACCAGAACGCGTAATAACAATGCAAGTTTGCTTAGGTTCGATGACATCGGAGTCGACTTTAAGGATCAACTTCACTCATTTGCAAGCGTATAGGATAGGAATTACGTAGCCAAACAAATTAAGGGACGCACCATCAAGATAGCAAAATTTGGTTATAAGAAGTGAATATAGTTTCCGCTATGTTTGACCTAAAGTAAATTAAATTTCATTTAAGAATGCTTTCATAATATAAATATCCTTGTCATGACACACAAGTTCGGTACGAATAACTCGAGATACTCGAGACACTCTAAGGCAACCATTCTCCAGTTTCCAGAAACCAATTTATGGAGCTAAGCCGTAAAATGAAATGAAAATATTAGGGGATCCCTAAGGGACCGGTGCTCCACCAGATAAGTCAGAGGCTCAACATAAAAAACCCGACGAAAATTCGACATTCACCTTTTCTAAGTGGATTGAAGTTAGATGGCTGAAACACATGTTTATTGGCTGGCAGATGGTGAGTACTTGAGGGATAGGTCCAGTGAAGCAGCGCAACTCGCTAGTGTCAACACAGGCATCACGAGCAATCCAGCTGCGTGGTTGGTGCGTCATCTGTAACTCAGACTGAGTGGCAGAAACACTTGATGGCTGAAAGCAGTAAAATGGATGAGAAAGAAAGCGAGTGAAGATAACTATAAGGAAAAAAATAATTAAGATAATTTTAATTGCATGCAATTCTATAAATCCGTGAATTGTTCAAATGAAAGAATAATCGTATTAGCATGATGATTCAGGCGAGGCATCAAATTTTATTAATTCAGGTCGGGAGATGAACAAAAAGGCGAATTTATAAAGTAACTTATTAGATTACTATCTAACCATTCAGGAAAAGATGACAGTTACAAAGGCAAATGGTAAGTAAAATTTCGTATCATGTTCGAAATCTTTTAGACAAGTCAAAATACAGCATAAAATCACACATGGAAAACATACAATAAAATAAATCTCATGTATAGATCAATAATAAATCCGTCTATATTTTTAGTTTAGACATGAATGTTGGGAGCACAAATTAATTAAAAATGAGAGTTTATTAAAATAATAGTGAGTTATGATGTTAGCACTACGCAGATGCCTATGTTAAGTTGTTTGACCTTGTTTTCGTAACTCTGTCATAATGACAGGAAGACTTAGGTGAATGCGCCGTCCGGAGCCCATAGTATACATGATAATTTCCAAAAGGACCGTGGACTTGGTACATTCCAGGACGCTGCGCCGTCATCGCCAGTGAGTCTTGCCACTATTAGCATTACACTACAACTAGTCAAGGAGATTTGTCTCTAGGTCGCCCTGCCAATCCGACCAAGTTATGAAAACAAGAAGACTGCGACCATACAAAAGGCCACACCATCTTAGTCTTCATAACTTCAAGAAAAATTAAATTAAACGTAGATATGAAGACCAATTAATGCCTATATCTAATCTTGAGTGATGATAAAAAATGATTGATGAGGCCAATTTTGAAGGAATCCATAAGGGATGC